ACCAGCAGCCTTTTGGTTATCAGCCAAAGGTGTATTAAAACCTCCTACAATTATTGTGGAGTCCTGGTGTGGCACTGTAAGATAAACACTGGACTGCTAACCTCAAGATTGACTGTTCAAACCCACCAGCTGCTCCTCAGGAACCCCATACAGACTTGCTGTGAGTTAGAACCAACTTGACAGCACTTAACAACAGAAGAACAAAAGAAATAATAAAGATTAGAGCAGAAATCTATAAAACAGAAAAACAATCAAAAGAATCACTAAGCAAGAAGTTGGTTCTTTGAAAGGACTAATACAATTAACATACCACTAATAAATTTAACAAAGAAAAAGGAGAAAATGCAAATAATATAAATAAGGAATGAAATAGGTGACATCACAACAAAACCAATGGATATAAAAAGGATCACAACAGAATACTATGAAGAACTATACCCCAATAAATTAGAAGAACCTAGAAGAAATGGACAAATTTCTCGAAGCACACTAGCTACCTGAACTAACATGGGCTGGAGCAGAAATTTAAACAAACCTATAACAAAAGAAAAAAATTAATCAGGTCATTTTAAACTCACACCAAAAAAAGGTCTAGGCCCAGGTGGGTTCACTAGTGAATTCTACCAGACATTCAGAGAAGAGCTAATATCAATTCTACTCAAACTAGTCCAGACTATAGACTAATGGAAAACTCCCAAATTCATTCCCAAAATCAGGATGGAAAACTCCCAAATTCATTTTATGAAGCTAACATAACCCTAATACCAAAACCAGGCAAAGATATCACTAATAAAAAGTGCTCTGGAAAGGAAATCAGAAAACAGGACCATTTACAATAGATATCTGAAAGATTAAATACTTAGGAATAAGTCTAATCAGAAAAACAAAAGACTTATATTACAAAACATTGCTACAAGAAATCAAAAGAGACCTACATAAATGGAAGAACATATCATGGTCATGGATAGGAAGACTTAACAATGCGAAAGTGTCAACACTACCTAAAGCGGTCTATAGTGATCGCTGTAGATATAATACAATCCCAATCCAGATTCCAGCATCATTCTTTAAAGAGATGGAGAAACTAATCAACTTTATATGGAAAGGAAAGAGATCCCAGATAAGCAAAGAACTACTGAAAAAGAAGAACATATAGGAAGCCCCTCACTTCCCGATCTCAAAACCTTCCACATAGCCACAGGTAGTCAAAACAGCCTGGTATTGGTACAACCACAGACACATAGACCAATGAAATAGAATTGAAAACCCAGAAGTAAATCCATGCACATATGGTCAGCTGATCCTTGACAAAGGTCTGAAACAGATTGAATGAGAAAGAGACGGTCTCTTTGACAAATGGTGCTGGCAAAACTGGATATCCATTTGCAGAAGAATGAAACAGGACCCATATCTAACACCACACACAAAAAAGAAAATGTAAACCTAGAGCTATAAAGATCATCAATGAAATAATAGACACAAACTTGTTAAGTTCCGTAGAGTTGGTCCCGACTCATAGTGACCTTGTATAGAGTTTCCAAGGAGAGGCTGGTAGATTTGAACCTCCAATCGGTGGTTAACAATCAAGTGCTTACTCAACAACGCCACACCAGGGCTCCAGGGACAAATTCAGGGGTGGCACTGTGGGCTAATGCGTCAGACTGCAAAGTTCTTTGAACTGCAAGGTCGGTGGTTCAAGCTCACCAGCTGCTCTTTGGAAACCCTATACAGGGTCTCTATGGGTCAGATTAGACTCCACGGCATTTAACAACAACAATATGTGGCATGGAGTCCTGGTAAGGTGATATAGGATATGCACTGGGCTACAAGGTCAGTTTGAACCAAAAGATCATTGGCTTGAACTCAGTAGCCACTCCTCAGAAACACTATACAGGGTTACTATGAGTTGGAACTGAGTCATTGGCATTTAATAACAACAACAACAACGGTATGTGGCATAAGCACATTGTCAAGCATAACTGCAAACACACAAACTACAGAAGACAAAGGTAATACAGAAACAGCTGCAAACATACATTGACAGAGAACTTCCAGAGGTTCAAGCCGGATTCAGAAGAGGCTGTGAAACGAGGTATATCATTGCTGATATCCGATGGAACTTCATTGAAAAAAGAGAATATCCGAAAGATGTTTACCTGTGCTTTATTGACTACATAAGGCTTTTGATTGTGTGGATTATGACAAGCTATAGGCAACATTGCAAAGTATGAGTATTCTATAACACCTAATTATGCTCATGAGGAATCTGTACGTGGATTTGTTTGAACAGAACATGGGAACATTGAATGGTTTAAAATTAAGACAGGTGTGCAACAGGGTTGTATTCTTTCACCATACTTATTCAACCTGTATGCTGAGCAAATAATCCAAGAAGCTGGGTTATATGAAGAAAAACATGGCA